TCTCCAAAGGGCTTCAGCTGCTCGGTATACTTGCTCACACATTCCAGATACTCATCTGTAAAGTGGTACTGGGAGTTCACCAGGCGGAACATCCGTTCCAGAAGGCGTGCCCAGAAGTCATTTAGCATTTCTTCCAGGTTCACATTTCCCACCACGTAGTAGCGCTTCAACTCTACGAAGAGATCTTTAAATAACTCCGAATTTTGCATGTATAAATGGCCATATGTCTTCACAAACATATCATTCAGGGATTTCTCTGCATTTTCAAGTAGTTCTTTGAAGAATTCATCAAACTTCTTGTAACGTGAAGCAAAGACAGCTTGCAAATTATTGCACTGTTCGCTGACCACATTTTTGAAATCATCTTTACTTTGTAGACTGTATTTCTCCTCCATCTCTTGAGAGCAGCAGGTATAACCTTGTGGACAGATCTTCAAATGATCACCGTTGATCTCGTGGAGAGGAGCATCGTTCTTGTTGAAGCCTTTGGACACGTAGAGACGTTGCACTTCCGAGCAACTTTTCGACTTGAGCTCGGCAGCCAGGAGCACGGCGCTGAGCACGGCCAGGGTGCAGAGAAGCGCTGGCAAGCCGAACCGTGCCATCGTGCCGGCCGGGGCTGATGCGCTCCCACCTTTGGGATGGGACGGGAAGCTGCGCTTCGGAAGCGGCCCAAGGGGTGCGGAGTCCGGAGCTAGCGAGTGGAGCTTGGGGGTCCTCGGAGCAGAGGACGGGAGAAGCTGGCCGGCCGGCGAGGCAGAGACGCGGGGAAGGAGGGGAAGGTGGCAGGCGCCGCGGGGACCGCGGAGGGTGTGGGCGGCGGCGGGCTCTCGCTGCGCTCTGCTGGGGCTGCCCGGCGCTGGTCCGCTCGCCTGGCTCGAGTTGGCTCGGCTCACTCTGCCCTCGGCTGTGCGGCTGTGCCCTTCTCAGCTCTGCCGCTGATTGACTCAGGGAATCTTTTTTATGTGTCTTTTTTCACTTCTTTCAGGCCTTCTGTTTCTTTCTCACCTGATAGTTGGTATGTATGTCTGTTTTCCCTCTTGCACC